GACAAGCAGCCCGGGATTCTCATTAGGTAAAGATTGTGGAAGTGGGTATCATGCTGTCACTGTCCCTGATGTTAATATAAGAGTTAAGAAGAAATTATTTAGGCAGATAGTGAGGTAAGGAAGTCCTTAAGGCTTTCCTTTTAATGAAAAGCCGCCCCAAAATAATTTCTAACAAAGAGCAGCCTCTAAAATCCAGTTGCAGACATAGGCAAGCTGGAAGCTCTGTGGGTGAATGCTGGCAGCTGCACCAACGGGAAAAGGCTACAACGCGGAAGGCAGATTCAGTGCGGCAGTTCCAAAGTCTTCCCCTGTCCTTGTCAAGCACATGCCCAGTAAGGCCCAGACAACATGGCGCTGGCCAATCAGAGACCCCATTTGCATAATAGATTAAGGTAGGGCAGGGCACCAGCTTCCTCACACGCTCTGTAAATGTCGTGTCCGGAACTGGTTCCTTCCGGTGGGTTCTTAGTCTTGCTGACTTCAAGAATGAAGCCGCCGACGCCTGTGGGGAGTCTTACCTTCTTAAGGACGGTGAGTCCAGCTCGTTCCTTCAGATGTTCACATGCGTCCAGAGTTTCTTCCTTCCGGTGGGTTCGTGGTCTGGCTGACTCCAGGAGTGAAGCCGCAGACCCTCGGGGTGAGGGTTACAACTCGCACAGGCGGCTCGTCCGCAGTCGTTTGGTCCTCCGGATGGATTCCTGGTTTCATTAGCTTCAGGAGTGAACCTGCAAACCTTCACAGCGATTTTACAGCTCATAAAAGTAGTGCGGAGCCGAAGAGCCAGCAGCTGCGAGATATATTGCAAAGAGCAAAACAACAAACCACAACAACGTCGAAACGGACCCCCGCGCATTACCACTGCCGGCGCCGGTGGCCTGCTTTTATTCCCTCGTTTGGCCCCCAGCACATCCTGCAGATTGGTCCATTTTACAGAGAGCTGATTGGTCCATTTTACGGAGTGCTGATTGGTCCATTTTACAGAGAGCTGATTGGTCCATTTTACAGAGTGCTGATTGGTCCATTTTACAGAGTGCTGATTGGTCCGTTTTACAGAGTGCTGATTGGTCCATTTTACAGAGTGCTGATTGGTGCATTTACAAACCTTTAGCTAGACACAGAGCGCTGATTGGTGCATTTATAATCCTTTAGCTAGACAGAAAAGTTCTCCAAGTCCCCACCAGACCCAGAAGCCCAGCCGGCTTCACCTCTCAATGTCACACCAGATCCAACCAATCTTTGGGCCCTCTGTAGATCAGACACCACCTCTCACGGCTGTCTATAAAATCTGGTGCATTCTGCCATATGCTGCAAGTCCCATTGAGGTGCACCCCGTCTCTCTCTCTCTCTCTCTCTCTCACAAGAGAGAGCGCTATTCTCCTTTCTCTTTCTTTTGCCTGTGAAACTTCCACTCTTAATCCCACTCCACGTGTGTTCATGTCTTTGATTTCCTTGGCATGAGGCATCAAACCTTGGGTATTTACCCCAGACAACAATGCTGCTTCAGTGTTACACTCCTGGTTTGGAAATTAATATGTGTGTGTGTGTGTGTGTGTGTGTGTGTCTGTATTAGCACGTTAATTTTTAAAAATCTTTATTTTCCCGGCTTTATTTTATTTTATTTTTAAAAAGGGAATTAGGAATATTTTGTAGTTAAAAAATACCTGCGCTTGCCATTCTGCATACTTATGGCCAGATCCCGGATAGTGCTTTTATCAGTTTGTGTTCTCTGCCTCATTGTTTTGATGGCTTGCATTTTCCTTATTTCACTAAGGGTCAAAACTATTGCAATAAGGGAGAGAGACAGAACTCAACTCCAAGGACAGCAATGACATTTGGGTATTTGTAGCCAACAGGCAAGGAGACAGGATCAATGGATGAAAAATTACTAAGAGGGATTTGATGAGATGTCAAAGGTGGGGATTGAAACTGGGCTCAGCAGGCCAAGGACAAGGCCTGGTTAAGAAAAGGGCTCCAGGAGCCTGGCTAGGAGGGAGTCCTTACCAAAATTCAGTGACAAAATAAGCTTGGTATGCTAGAGAACAGTTCATGTGGCATTTAACTCAGGAACTCTGACATGAACTAGACTACTGTGATCAGGGGAGGAGGCTTAGGAAACGGGCTACACAGACGTCCATTGAAGTGTAGGGTCAGGGGAGTCAGGAAGGCCAGAGAGAGACATCACCTGCTGGAGCCCTGGCCCTCCCTGCAGGGGCGAGAACTGTAGCCTGCAGAGGCAAAAGACAGATGGGTGGACTGTGTTTTAACATGGAAATGGCCCCGTTTGATCTGGCTGGGCTACCAACGTGTAACGATGGAAAGGAACAGCAAGGCATCAGGCATGAATGTGATTGGTGAGCCCAAGGCCGACCCACAGAAGCCCTGCGGGGGGTGCCCTTTGTGTTCCTGAGTGCTGTGTCAGCCCCGTGGAGGAAGCAGGAGCTTGCAGGCTCATCCCCAGTCTGTGTCCTGGAGGATGAGGGCATCCAACCCGCCTCCTGCATGGGCGAGTGCCGGGGCACAGCCTGTGTGGGGGCAGGTGAGCTCGTAGGGACGAGAGAGTCATTTTTATGGCCCTAAATTCCAGGACTAAATGTATTCTCATTACATTTTGTGCTTTTTAGAGAGCACGTCACAGAACTGAGCTCATTTTAAGCACGGTTTCCACTTGTGTACGTGTATTTCTGAAGCTAGACGGAAAGAAAAGACATATGGGGGAATTCCAAAAGTGGCTTCTGCATGCTGCCCATTGAATGTTTGCTGAGGAACACTGCACCCATAGTGTCCTGGGTGGAGCCAACGGTTATCCCGGGAGACGGCAGAGCCTGGTGACCCTGACCCTGGGACCCTGGCATGGGCCTGCACACTGGCACGCACAGATGGAAGGCGGACAATGCTTCCAGGTGCCTTTTGAGTTCCAGATGCCATTGAAGACAGCAGAGAGGCTTAACCCAGTCAGTAGACATTCTACCTTCATTGCAAGGATGCCTTTAAAATCTTTATTTAGAAAGTTCAGTTCCTTGGCTCGCACAAAGGATAATTTGAAGAACAATTGAACTGCTGAGAACATCCAGATTCGACAACATTCGGAGAGACAGTCAGTGACTGATGAGAGGAACCAGCTTATATTTCTGAAGCTCAGGGGCCTGCTGCCAGGACTCTTATTTAAAACATGCCTCAGAATAGGCCCCTGTGGGCGCCAGCAAGACTTGCCTTAGAATACTTTGGAATAACCTCATGCTTTCGTGGCCAAAGCTGTACATTTTTGGATGCCAGGTTTCTATTTGAAACTTGTCACTGTGACCTGCAGACTTGTAGCTGCTGCCAATCGCACAGTCGGAGTTTTTCTCCCTGAGTGAGGATCCAGAAATGCATGCCCAGCTGAGCTCCCAGCATATTGATAATCTCCTCACCCCTTGAATGAAAATGGTAACAATTGCTTCAGTTAAAATGTCAGATGCTTTTGGTTAAAAATAACCACAGAAATCCTAATTTTAGCTACCTCAACCGTAAAGGGGAGTGCTGGCCCAAATCACAGTCTGGAAGGAAGATCCAGTGATAGGTGTTGGGGCACAGGAAATGATTCCCCAAAATATGGTGCTTTGGCACATGGAGTGCTTTGACAATTGAAAGGCCTCCACAATAAGACTTAGAACCAAGGTTTCTCTCTGACCTTTTCCCCACCTCTTTTTCTCCCTGATATTCCTTCCTGAAGCCCAGGAGGGACTCTTCTCTGGAATTTCCTTATCTAAGAAAGCTTAAACGCAATTGTCTTAAGACTCCCTCCTTAGGAATCTCATCAAAGAACCAGGACCGTCAAGCACTGGAGAAGAGAAGAGACTCAGAGTCCTCACCGTGCCCAGATGCACTTTTCATCTATTCTTCTAAGAGCAGCTCCAAGAGATTATCTGGGGGGCTTTACCTGCAGAATAAGACAACCTTTGTTCCCGTGAGCTCTGACTCCACTTTCCCAGAGCATCTGCCTCCTGCCTTTGGGGTCCATTCATCCTCCCTAATGATTTCCTGCCCATCCAAAGATCATCTACATTTCCCATCACTTCCACCCCTAGGAAAGGGTAAATGAACTTCCGCAGGGCACTGAGTAAGTGGGTGATCACTCTGTGGTTGTCCCCTGTGCACATTAATAAATTTGTTTGTCTTTTTTCTCTGTTAATCTGCCTTTCATCAGTTGATTTTCAGCAAGACTTCAGAGGGCCAAAGGGAAGTTTCTCCTTCACTCCTACATAGGCATTCCTAGCACGTTCCAAAATCTCCTTCCCAGACGTGAGACCCCTTGGAGTTAAGCATATTTCAGGACCAACAATAAACATGATGTGTGTTACTTTGGGGGAACATTAAGAATCAGGGTGTGAGTCTCCACCTTTCTCCCCATGGCAGGTCATCATGGAGTCACACATTGATTTGAAGGTGCACAGGGAAGCCTGGAACCCCAGGCCACCCCTCGGGGAGCACGGCCCTGGAGCCCACCCAGGCCCATAGCTGGCCATGAGTGAGAAACTAACTTTTGTGAGTTTGCTGAGGTCATGGTTTAGGATCACCCCATCTTCTTGCCCATCCTGACTGGCAGAGTCTTCAAAGTGGGTTTCATCCAATGACTCAACAATGACCCCGTGGACTGGCTCTTTCTGTCCCTCTGCCCTCTGAACCATGGCAGAATGGCTTCTGTACTTGCAGACACTTAAAGTCTGGAGCTACACTACCCAGAAGGCACCCACAGCCTCCCTTCCATCACGTTGGCCAAAATCAGGCTATACGCCCATTTCCGAAGCAAGTTTTTCATCCAGGGAATGCCATAGACTTGGGTAAAGGGCCAGCCACTCGGGCAAGATCAGGCTGTGGGATCACATGTATCCTATTAGATGAATCAAAGCCAGCTCCTGTAGAAAGGCATGAGGCTATTGTGCCCTGAGGCACATAGAAGAGGGGAGGGGTTAGGGAGAAGAGAATGAGGTGTGGGTTGGAGATTAGGAGGCAGGGAAGCAAAGTCATGTGCAGGTGAACATGAACCTGTCAAGATCCACCCCAACGCCTTCCTAACTTTCCTGCAGCATAGCACACATTTCATTTTTCCTCTCATTTTTCTCAAGATCAATGGGGCAGCGAACATCTGAGTTCACAGTAAAGAATGAACCTGTAAACAACAAAATAAGCCAGGCACAGGAAGACAAATGCTGCATGATCTCACTTATATATGTGTAATCTGAAAATGTTGAACTCATAGATATGGTGAGTAAAATGGTGGTTAGCGGGAGCTGGGGCATGGGGAAGGGGAATAGGTAGAGGTTGTTTAAAGGGTACAAAGTTTCAGTTACATAGGAAGAATAAGCTCTTTGAGATCCATTGCACAGCATTGGTGAATATAGTTAATGTCTTGTATATTTCAAAACTGCTAAAAGCAAATTCCAAATGCCTCACCACAGAAAATGATAAGTGATGTGGTGGACAGGTTAATTAGCTTCATTTAATCATGCCACACCAAACTTCACATTATACTCCACGAATATATACAATTATTACTTGTCAATTACAATTTAGATTTTTTTAAAAAGAAACTGTAAAAACACATTTTTAAAAATGTTCTTCTAAGTCCATTAAGAAAATGAAGGCCAATAATGGTGGCTTGACACCTGTAATCCCAACACTTTGGGAGGCCAATGTGGGAGGATTGCTTGAAGCCAGGAAGTTGAAGTCAGCCTGAGCAACCAGGAGGCTGAGGCCAGCCTGAGCAACAAAGTGAGACCCCATCTCTACAGAAAATAAAAAAATGTGGTGGCATGCACCTGTAGTCCCTGCTACTTGGAAGGCTGAGGTGGGAAGATGTATTGAGTTCAGGAGTTTGAAGCTGCAGTGAGCTAATACCGTGCTACTGCACTCCAAGCTGGGTGTCAGAGCAAGACCTCAGAAAAACAAGATCATGAAAACATTCTCTCATATCTCCTTCCAGAATTGTTTTAGCTTTCACATTTAGGTTTATGGCCCAACTTAAACTAATTTTCACCTTTAGGGTAAGATATGGGTAAAGTGGGTTTTTTTTCCATACAGGTATTCAATTGCTCTATTTATTAGAAAGACCATCTGTTTCCATCTGAATAGCGGCAGCACCTTCGTGGTAAACCACATGTGGGTCTATTTCTGGATCCTCTGTTCTGTTCCACTCTTCTCTTTATCCATCCTTCCTCTAATACCAGTCTATCTGAACTCCTGTAGCTTCAAAATAATTCTTGAAATCCTTGAACTTTGCTCTTTGTCATTAAGTATTCTGTTTCTTTCAGGTCCTTTGTCTTTTCATATACATTTTAAAATCAGCTTCTCAATTTCATCTCTTTAAAAAAACTGTTTAGCTACATATGAATTCATCAAAAGATATGGGGGGGAGTTGACACCTAAACAACACAAACTTTTCAACCTCTAAACATGGAACATCTTTTCATTTATTTTGGTCTTCTTTCGTTTCTTGCAGTAAGGTTTTCTAGCATACTAATCAGAATTCTCCAGAGAAACAGAAACAACAGGATGTGTATATACAGAGAGATTTATTTTTAAGGAATTGGCCTACAAGATTATGGAAGCTTGTAAGTCCAAAATCTGCAGGGTAGATTGGCAGGCTAGAGACCTGGGAGAGAATTTCAGTCCAAGTGCAAAGGCAGTCAGTTGGCAGAGTTCCATCTTGCTCAGGAGAGGCCACTCATTGTTCTATGGAGCCCCTTCAGCTGACAAGATGAGGCCCACTCACATTATGGGGGGTAATTTGCTTTACCCCTAGTATATCAGTTCTGGTTGATCTCAACAAAAACACCTTCACGGAAACATCCAGAATAATGCTTGACCAAATATCTGGACACTATGGCCCAGCCAAGTTGACTATAAAATTAGCCAGTGCAAGTCCAGCCCTTGTCATCCTGGCAGCTATACACATCTCCTTAAACCATACTTAATTTCCAAACAAAGATGATAACAAAGCCATCTTTCACCTAACTGTCCTGCACACAACCAAAAATGCACTAACCCCCTCCCCAGAAGAGTATGCAACGTCCTTAGGTGATGCTTATGCCTCTCGATAGCCTGCAACTTCAATACTGTAATGTGAAGTTAACAATACAGTCATGGCCGGGCGCAGTGGTTTGCGCCTGTAATCCCAGCACTTTGGGAGGCTGAGGCGGGTGGATCACGAGGTCAGGAGATCGAGACCATCCTGGCTAACATGGTGAAACCTCATCTCTATTTAAAAAAATACAAAAAAATTAGCCGGGCGTGGCAGGGGGCACCTGTAGTCCCAGTTACTCGGGAGGCTGAGGCAGGAGAATGGTGTGAACTCGGGAGGTGGAGCTTGCAGTGAGCTGAGATTGCACCACTGCACTCCAGCCTGGGCGACAGAGCGAGACTCTGTCTCAAAAAAAAAAAAAAAATACAGTCATGTACCATATAATGACCTTACGGTCAAGAACAAACCTCATATACAACAATGGTCCCATAAGATTATAATACTGTATTTTTACTCTACCTTTTCTATATTTAGATATCCTCGTACTGACAAGTGTGTTACAGCTGCCTACGGTATTCAGTACAGTAACATGCTGTACAGGTTTGCAGCCTAGGGGCAGTAGACTGTCCCATATAGCCTGGGTGTGCAGTAGATGTACCATCCAAGTTTACGTAAGTACACTCTACAATATTTTCATAACAATGAAATCACTAAATCACCTAATGATGCGTTTTTCAGAACATATCTCAGTCATCAAGCAACACCTGACTATACTTAATTACTATGATATAAAGTCAATAAGAGGATAAGAGAGGGAAGAAATGAGATACTTGCTAAACATACACAAACACAAACAAACATATTCATAACAAAATAAGGATAAAATAGTCATAACAATTACAATGCTGATTTCTGGAACTGGTCACGTGGTCATAGCTGGTGCTTATAGCTACCGTCTTCCACTACCATTCTATATTCCCTTTGTCCTCAGCTGGTTGTGTTTTTATACAGGGTAGAGTGATCCAAATCTTAATTCCTGAAGTGTCTGAGCCATTGGTAGTCCTGCCTGGATTGGGTTGGTGTAGTTTTCCACTGACTTTAACCACAGGGCATGGTAACACTAAGAGATGTCCTAAGCGACTTCCTGTATTCTAGACATACTCTTCCTTCCCTCCATTGTGGAGTAGTACTCCAATTTCTGCTTGGTAGTGAGAATCAACCACCCCAATCACCACAGTAACTCCCTTATTTGCCTACTCATTCAGAGCCCTGAGGACTCCAAAGTGGCTGGGCAGCCGTCTTCTAGTTCATTGGAATCATTTTTGTGTCTCTTAGTGGAAGCCTTTTTCCCTTTGGAACTAAGACCTTTATGCCAACAGAGTATACGTTCACAGGAACAGAAGGCAAAAATTTTCCTGGGGAGTCAATAGGAGTAATAGGGAATAGTACAACTCCCACTTCTACCTACCCCTTGATTCCTACCCGTGAACCTGTCATAGAAACAGCACCATATATTAAATACTGATTCAGATGGTATACAGCCTCCTGGAGAACCTTATCGTAGCCCTGCAAGGTATTGCCAGAAGCAATGCTGGGTGGAATACCATGATGGTGGATAAGACATTCTATAAGTCCGTGGATGGTAGTTTTGGCAGAAGCATTGTGTGTAGAGGAGGCAAATCCATTTTCAGGGTAAAAATCTATTCCAGTGAGGACAAAACACTGCCCTTTCCATGATGGAAGCTGCCCAAGTGTAATCAACCTACCACCAGGCAGGTTGACTGATGGATCTCCCTGGGGAATGATGTCATACTGTGGACTCAGTGTTAGTTTCTGCGGCTGGTAAATTGGACACTCAGCAGATGCTGTAGCCAGGTCACGTTTGGTGAATGGAAGTCCATGTGATTGAGCCCATGCATAGCCTCCATTCCTGCCACCATGTGGGCAACGGCTGGGACGGCTGGGGAAAGAGGCTGACTGCCTTTGTTTTGTCTGTTTATTTTATTAGTATTGAGAGAGGTAAGTTGATATATCAACTCTGATGTGGATTCATCTCTCTCTTTAGTTTCTGTAAACTTTCGTTTCATATGTTTTAAAATTATAATATTAGTGCATACAAAGTTAAAGTTGTTATGACTTCCTTTCGAATTTACCTAGTTACCATTATGAAATGTTACAATCGATCTCTCAGAATATCTTTAACTTTGAAGTCTATTCATATTTTAACTAGTATTACTGTCACCATGCCAGGTTTCTTTTGATAGTGTTTGCATCTTTTTTCATCCCTTTACTTCATTCTATCTATAAATGTATATTTGAAATATGTTCATTGTAAATAACATATAGTTTGGGCTTCTAAAAATATCTGATTCACTTTGTAGTTTAATTGGTGTATTTAGTCCATTTATATTTAATAATATTATGTAACTGGTCTGGTTGATTTGTTTATCATTTTGCTATTTGTTTTCTATTTGTCCTGAAATTTATTTTCTCTTTCCTCTGTTCCTGCCTTCCATTATATTAATCAGGTATTTAAAAAATATTCTGTTTTATCTTATCCATTAGCATTTTGTTATACTTAAAATGTTATAATACACTTTATCTTATAATACACTTCTATCTCATCTATTATCATTTTGTTATTTTGTTATAAAAGATTAGTATCAATCTTTCCATCATTACACTAGAAATTACAGAATGCACTCTTACTTATTATGGTCTGCTCTAAGTTAGTATTTTAACACGTCCCCAATGGTCTGATAACCATGCAACAATTTAACTCCATTTACCATCCCCTCCTTTTTTGTTTTTGTTGTCATGTATTTTATTCTACATAAATTCTCAACTTCATGAAACATGTTTATTGTTTTGTTTAAAAGAATAGATTTTATAATTTATACAAGTGTTTACTCTTTCCAGTGCTGTTCATTTATTGAATTTCTATCTCTCTGTAAAGATGTAGATGCTCGAAACAGTGGGATCCCTCCAGGACAATAAGGAGAGAGATGTGGTCAGTATACGGCACTCTGAAAGACCCTGAGAAATTATGGACCTGCAGAACCAGCCCTGGGACTGCCAGCATCCAGGCTTGTCATTGAGTAAATCTGTCTGCTCCTTTATGTTTAAGCTAATGTTACCAGTCACAAAAATACCCAAGCTAATGCTCCTACACTACCATTCTCGCAGTTATAACCAAACTCAAAATATGGGTCATTTAGATTCTGTATTTCTCTCTCTCTCCCCACCCATCACCAGTTCTTGATGCTGAGAGTTTTGCCTCCACCCTGCCTCCCACAGCACTCCTTTATTTCCATAGTTACACAGACTAGACTCTGGACCCGAGTACCTCTTTTCTGACACTTTAAGACAGCCTCCTTGCTCTTTTCAGATTTCCCCCTGTAATCCATTCTACATTCTAAGATCAATATCTCTTTAAATATGGCATTCATCTTCAAACCAGCAGTTCTAACTTTTAGGTCTTAGGAACCTTTCGTATTGCTAAACTTATTGAGAATGACAAGAGCTTTTTTTGGTGAGTTATACCTGTTGATATTTATCATATCTACAAATTAAAACAGAAAAATGTTTAAAGTATATTTACTAAGTCATTTACAAATACCAATAGTAAACCCATTAAAGGTTAAAATAAATAACACCTGGTTATGAAAAATAACTATAACACAAATAGTGAAGAGTGGCACTATTTTAAATTTTTCAAATTTTCTAATGTCTAGCTTTGAAGACAAATGGATTACCGTATCTATTTGACTTGAGATATTCAAGCGGCTGAAATATTTTGTTGTAGTCGAAGTTGACTAAAATCCAGTTGCATATAGTATTTGAGGGAAGGCAATGCTTTAATACATTTCTATGGTAATTATAAATATGCTACTTTGATACTACCTCCAAACTAGATGAGTGGTAGTTTCTTAAAAGTTTTGCAATGTAGATTCTGAAACTGTTTCAGTAAATTTGTTAACTGTACATTAAAATTAATTGATCTAGTTTGTATTTTGGATGGATCTTTTCCTCATGCATGATTGTGTAAAATTATGTACTGGACACTTGGAAAATATTAGTTCACTGAATAATGCAACTCTTTCAAATATTTCCACATTTCATTATATATTAAAAATTGCATTTATTGATAGTACCACCAATCTTATAAAAAAAATTAAGCATTGGGAAGTCATCGAGCTCATGGTAGCAGATACAAGTTTTCCAAAATTTTAATTTTCATTTGAAAACTTAAATGTAATCATTAGCAACAAATACTAATTCCTGTTCGTCGTTTCCCTTAAAGTAACAGGCTTACTTTATTCATTTTCAGGACAAGTCTGCTGTAGGGGAGGGAAAATTTTCCCATTACCCTCCCTCTGAGGATTTGATAATTGAGTTTGTGAAATCAACAGACAGCAGGCAGATTAGCAGGAGAAAAAGTATACAAATGTATTACATGCATGGGAACATCATAGCAAAGAAAAGTGAATACCCTCAAACCCAGTGAGATCTAGAAACTTACATACCCTCCTCTTAGGAGAGAGGGAAGGAGAGATGTAGGCAACTTAGGAGACAGTAAATTACTTTTGTAAAAGATGAGGTTAGAAGAGGAGATGACAGCCTGTGACAAAGCCTGTGTAAGGCATCAACCTCTACTCTCCTCTCCTGTGATAAGAGTCCATCTTCTCCAGTCAATGAGATGCCTCAGGGATGAGATAGATGGCAGTTGAATTCCTTTTGGAGGACCTGTCTCTAGGCAGATAGGGGAGTTCAGAGACAGCCCTTCCCTGCATTTGCCATTCCCCTGGTGCCCTCAGTTTGAAGTAATCAGCACACTAAATTTTGGGGTGACATATTTTGGGGTGACATTTCCCAAACTCCTTCAACTCCCAAATACACAAACCTACGTAATCACCATCTGTCAGGTGCTCTTTCAAGTAAAAATTGTGTTGCATGAAAAAAGTAGGTGGTTTAGCTCACAACTCAAATGATTGCACAGGTCCTTTCCTTCAAAGTAACCATCCTGCTTTATTATGTAACTGCAGTGCATAATGTGTACTTCCCATCTTATCACACAGAAAGTTATAAAGGTGTGTACTCGATCATTTGTATTTCTCAAATAATTAGTGATATTGAGCATTTTTCACATGCCTCTTGGCTGCATGTCTTCTTTTGAAAAATGTCTGTTCATGTCCTTTGCCCACTTTTTAATGTGGCTGTTCGTTTTTTTTTTTTTTTTTTTTGTAAACTTGGTTAAGTTCCTTACAGATGCTGTATATTAGACCTTTGTCAGATGCATAGCTTGCAAAAATTTTCTCCCATTCTTCAGGTTGTCTGCTTACTCTGTTGATTTTACATTTAAGTCTGTAATCCATCTGGAGCTAATTTTTATATATGGTGTAAGGAAGGGGTCCAGTTTCAATCTTCTGCATATGGCTAGTCACTTATTCCAACCCCATTTATTAAATAAGGAGTCTTTTTCCTATTGCTTTTTTTGTCAGCTTTGTTGAAGATCAGATGGTTGTAGACGTGCAGTCTTATTTCTGGGCTCTCTATTCTCTTCCATTTGTCTATGTGTTTGTTCTTGTACCAGCACTATGCTGTTTTGGTTACTATAGCCCTGTAGTATAGTTTGAAGTCGGGTAATGTGATGCCTTCAGCTTTGCTCTTTTTGCTTAGGATTGTCTTGGCTTTTCGGGTTCTTTTTTGGTTCCATATGAATTTTAACATAGTTTTTTCTAGTTCTGTGAGGAATTTTATTGGTAGTTTGATAGGTATAGCAGTAAATCTGTAAATTGCTTTGGGCAGTATGGCCATTTTAATGATACTGACTCTATTCATGAGCATGGAATGTTTTTCCATTTGTTTGTGTCATCTGTGGTTTCTTTGAGCAGTGTTTTCTAACTCAAATTGTAGAGATCTTTTACCTCCCTGGTTAGCTGTATTCCTAGGTATTTTATTCTTTTTGTGGCAATTGTGAATGAGATTGCATTCCTGATTTGCTTCTTGGCTTGGCTGTTCTTGGTGTATAGGAATGCTAGTGATTTTTGTACATTGATTTTGTATCCTGAAACTTTGCTGAAGTTATCAGTTTAAGGGGCTTTCAGGCCGAGACTATTGGGTTTTCTAGATACAGAATCATGCAGTCTGCAGAGAGAGTTTGACTTCAGATGGGTAATTTAAAGAAGGATAATGGAAATTTTAAGAAATAATCAAAAGAAAATGCTTGAAATTAAAAACATTATAACCAAAATAAAGAATGCCTTTGGGCTTATCAATAGCCTGGATGGATGTAACTAAGGAAAGAAGCCGTGAGCTTGAAGATATGCCAATTCAAAACTGAAATGTAAAGAAAGAAAACAAGATATTCAGGAACTGTGGGACAATTGCAAAAGGTGTAACATATGCATAAATGTAATGGAGAAACGGGAATGGAACAAGAGAAATATTGGAAATAATAATGTTCAAATTTTTCCCTAGTGAATGATAGCTACCAAACCACAGATCTAAAAAGCTCAGAAAACACCAAGTAAAATAAATGTGAAAAACCCTACATCCAACCCTATCATATTCAAACCTCAGAAAACCAAAGACAAAGAGAAAATCTTGAAAGAAGCCAGAGTAGGTAAAAATGAAATACTTTGATGTAAATTTAACAAAACATGTACAGTACCTCTATGTTGAAAACTGCAAAATACTGATGAAAGAAATAAAAAGTCTAAATAATGGAAGAAATATTTTGTGTTCATGGATTAGGGAATACAACATAGTAAAAATGTCTCTTTTCAGATTGATATATAGGTTTAACACAATTCCTATCCAAATCTTAACAAGGTTGTAGATACAGATACAATTATTTTAAAATGTATATTTAAAAGCAAAGGGACTAAATAATTACGAAAATGATAAGTAAAGTGAGAGGAATTACTCTAACCAATATTAAGACCTACTACGTAGCAACATCAATCAAGACAACGTAGTATTGGCAATGGGATAGACACACAGATTATTGCAACAGAACAGAGAATTCAGAAATAGCCCCATGTATGGACAGCCAACTCATTTTTAACAAAGGTGCAAAAATAACTCAGTGGAAGAAGGATAGTTTTTCCTTCCTACCTTCTTTCCTTCCTTCCTTCCTTCCTGCCTGCCTGCCTGCCTGCCTGCCTTCCCTCCTTCTTTTTTCTTTCTTTCTCCCATTCTTTCTTTCATTTTTTTCTCCTGCTCCTAGAACAATTAGATTTTCATAGGCAAAAAAAGGCACTTTGACCGAATTATCACGCTTTATCCAAAAATTCTCAAAAAGGAACAGATTTAATGTAAATCATAAAACTATAAAACTTTAAGGAGATACCTGTAAGAAGATAAATCTTTGAAACTTTAGACATGACACCAAAAGCACATTTTATAAAAGGAAAAATTAATATATCTGACTTCATCAAATTTTAGATTGAGCTCTGTGGAAGACTCTAATAAGAGAAAATGATAGTCTGGGGGAAAATATTTGCAAGCTGCATATTCAACAGCAGAATCCTATCTAGCATATATAAATAATTCTTAAGAGTCAGCTCTTGTTAGAAAAACAAACAATCCAATTAGAAAATGAGAAAAAGAGATGAAGAGACATTTCACTGAAGAGGATATATACATGGCGGTTAAGCACATGAAACAACGTTCCCTATCACTAGCTAGCAGGGAAACACAAGTGCAGACAGTAATGAGATATCATCACATGTTTATTAGAAAACCAAAACAAAAAGCAATGACAATACCAAATGCTGGAGGGGTTGTGGAGAAACTGGATCGGTCATATATCACTACTTCGGAATGTAAGAAGATGCAATCACTCTAGAAAATATTTTAGGAGTTTCTTTAAGAAAACTAAACATACATTTACCATACAATTTAGCAATTGCACTCTGAGGCATTTATCCCAGAGAAAGAAGAGGTTGTGTCTGCACAAAAACTGTACATGATCGTTCAGGGCAGCTTTAATGTTAATAGCTAACAACTGGAAACTACCAGAATGTTCCTTAGTAGGTAAAGTGAAACAAGCTGCGGTACATCCATTGTCTACAC